TAAAAATAGTTTTTTAAAAATTATAGTTTTATTATTTTTAACATAATTTTTGTACTGTAAGCTGGCAGTTGTTACTGTTTCCCAAACACATTTTTATAAAATTATTCCTTTATAATAAATTGTTATTACGACCAATATTTATTTAGTTTTTATATTTTTAACCGGGCTTAGGTCGTTTATTTAACACATCACTTAATGAAAATGTTTGTTTAAATAAAATAAAAAATTACTTATAAAATAAAAAATTATTATTATTCCTTTATTTTGTTTGTATTTTTGATGCTGTTAGCTGGCTCTTTTTATTTTTTGTCTTTTGGTTATAGCTACTGGCTCGTTGATTTTAATTTATTTTAAAAAACTGTTTCGCGAAGACAATTTTTTTGAAATTCTTTTTTCATTTTTATCGCATTTATGGTGGTGTTAGCTGACAATTTTTAATATCCCTCTCCTAGTAACTGTTACTGGCTCTTTGATTTTAATTTGATTAATTTAATTTAATTGATTTTAATAAACTGTTTTTTAAAGATAATTTTTTTTTGTAAATATACTTTTTATTTTTTTCGAATCATTGTTGATGGTAGCTGGCACTTTTTATTTTTTCTTTATTATTTACTAATAGTAACTCTGTAATTTTATATATAATGTTATGGCATTTCATTATTTCGAATGCATTTTATATGCAATAAATATTCACTTGGTTGTTAATTAGAGTGTACTTTATATTGAATATTCGTTAAACCAAGAACTTATTATAAATATTATTAAAATTTATTTATCGACCTGTTTTTTTATAATGGTGTTTAAATATTTTTTTTTATCCGGCTATAAGTCATTTTTTGTTAAATAATACATTTGTTGAATTTTTTTTAATACATCCTATATTTCGACTCGCCTTGAGAGCCATCATCAGAACCACGATCTAACATAAATTAATATTTTTAGAATTATATCTACGTCATCCTCTTTGTTCAAATATTGAATTATTTAACAATAATTTTATTTTTAACCCAATTTAATGAATTTGTACCTTTATTTCGTAAGGATTATAAGCAAACTCTCATAACCCATATGTGAATTACCAATTGATGATAATATATTTGCTTACATTTCGAATTTAAACAATAATTGCCAATCTTCATAAGCTTTTATAGGCTTTGCATATATGATCTTAAATGAAATGCTCATTTTCACATATGGTACATTTAAAATCTATTTTATAACTTTTCCACGATTTTATGTTCGATGTTAATTTCTGAACCCATAAAAACGGCAAACTTCGACACATGAAAAAATTTCGCTCTACTTATTTTTAATGGAAAATCTACTTAGTTGCCTTTTCATGCCGAGAATAAAGACTAACATTGGTTTTCACATAAAAATATTTTAAAAATATGTCTAAATCGTAATAATAATATTTTTAAATTTTAAAAGAATTTATTTTTATTGCATTTTTATTTCTCATACATGCTAAAAATTTTCAAATTTTTTAAACTTATTTTAAAAATTATGAGATTTAATCGAATACAATGTTGCTTGCCTTTATATAGGCTGCATCATCATACTCAGTCTAAAAGGATTATTATGTCATTCTACCTAATTTCCTTAGAAGAATGAAAGCCGTACGTGTTTACTAATTCAGAACATGTCGCATATTTGCACACACAATGAACTTTTTACTTATAAACGACGGACGACACACAATACAATTTATGCACGTATACAAACTTAAATAAACAACGCACACATGCACACACACACACGCATGCTAACACAACAAATTCCAGCGCACTCAGCAAGTAAACAATTGCAGCAGTTTGGGGTGTACTTCCTGTTTAGCACGAGTGCGCCATACAAGTTATGTTACTCAGACGCTTTGCACCGTTACGTTACACTTGCTGCTTCTGCTTTGGCTTCTGCCGCTGCCTCTGCTGTTGCTGCTTCTGCTTCTGCTTCTACTTCTGCTTATATGTAAATAAATCAGATTTATAAAATGTGCCCGTTGCTTTGCTGTTGTTATTATTGTTATCAATGCTGTTGTTGTTATTGTTGTAATTGTATTTGCTATATTTGCTGTGCTTGTTTTCATTTTTGGTATAGCTGCGTATAATATGCGTGTCGTACGTCGCACTGGTTTGTCAAAGCAGCTCAACACAGCGCAACATACATTGTATTTGGTTTTTGGTATTAGAGCGTCTGTGGGTAATATTGTGCAATATTAGCACCGCCAACACATCCATTAACCATATAAAATAGATATGTATAGATATGTATGGAGATAGAATACCGCAGCACCAACTTGTGGTGAACATAATCAAATAATGAATTCCAAGTTTTATTTTTTTTTTTGCATTTTTTTATCTTTTTGTTTATTAAATATATATGCATAAATAAATGTGTTTGCCACTTGTTCTCGTTTAGTTATTTTTTTTCTATACAAACTTATAACAAAGATATACATACACAATCACAAATATTTCAAACTTCTATTAAGCCAATGAACTTTTGATAATGAAATTATATCATTAACGACAGACTTAATTTAATGCGAAGTAACAGCAGCAACAACAAAAACAACATTAACATAAAAACGTCTTCATACATACATGTGTAAACACTTAGAAAACAACAACAAAATTTACAATAAAATCTACTTAAAATGTCAAAAAATTGTTGTGCAAAATGGATGCGTTCAATCTTACTTCCTTTTTTTCTTTTTTGCTTATATTTTCATACCCATATACATATATACATATCTCTACATATGGATGTATATGTATGTGAGCAATAAGAGTAATTAGAAATTTCTTAAAATGACGTCACTTTCATAATATGAAATATGTATGTTACTATGTATTCTTAAGTCTGTGCTAAAAAATTAGCCGCCGTGTACGTCAGTGAGTAGCGCAATAATTTAATTTACGTTCACAGTAATAAACTGGAATTAAGAAATTAGTTAGAAATATTTGAAGTCTTGCGATACAATGAATTTTATTATAAATTTATATTATTTTATAAAAAAACAATGAAGCACATTATTTTATCAGAATGATGCCAGATGAAATTTAAATTTTTACTCATCACAAAATAAAATTGTTTTCTATAATAATTTTTGTTAAGTTATAACTTTAGACCATATTTTAAATCAAAAAATCAAAAAAAAATTAATTACATTTTGTTTTATAAATAAATAAAATAAATTATATGGGATTATATCATTTAATTTTGATTCTTAAAATCTACGCTAAATTTTTGAAATAAAAAAAAAATTTTTTTAAATTCGTTATTTTAATGAACAAAAAATTACTTAAAAATAGAAAAATTTTTTTTTTAAAACAAACAAAAAATTAAAATTTTTAAATTACATTTAAATTTTTTAATAAATATTTTACAAAATGTTATGGAATCTTTTATATATATATTAATCATGTTTATATATATATATATGCCCAAATTTTAAAATATTTTATAAAGCTTAAAAAAACACAATTATTAACATAATTTATTGAGTTGGTACGCCAAAATTGATAATATTATTTCCCTGTCAAGCATATTCATTTAAAGGTGAAAGTGCCAAGTAAAAGCATCAAAACAGTGAGAAAATAAAAACGACGCTGACAGTTATATGGAATAAACTTTAAAAGAAATTCCTGTATAAATTATTAATGTAGCAAAATTAATTAAACTCCTTAATAGTTAATTAGAGATCTTAATTAGTGATCTATTTCTTTATAAATTACTATTGGAATTAAATTTACTTTAAACACAAATATATATGTATATACGAATATATTCCATATGTATATATGAATATAAATATATTTAATATTTATATTATTTATATTTATATATATATGTATATACATATACATGCAAAATATATATACATTAATATATACATATTTAATTCTAAATATATTCCATATGTTTTGGAATATGTGTACTTCTAAATATATTCCTTCTGAATTGGGTAATCGTATTATAAAAATAAAATTTTGTATCAAAATCAATACGCAAGCTATCAGGAGATAGCGGAGGCATTAAACATCAACCACGTGACTGTTTAAAATTATTTGAAAAGAGTAGGCGCCGCAGGGATACTCGATGTTTGGGTACCACTTAAATTAACGTAAAGAAATTTAATTGAAATTTAATTACTATCCATGAAACGCTGTTAACGAAATCAAACTGTGGTTAAGACGAATCAGCACAGCTCATCTTCTAGTCAGAAATGGACTAAATACAATACAATATCCAACGCAACCCAACATGATCAAACGCCTCCATAAACAACTTAAAAACTTGAATTGACGAATGCTTATTGTTATTAAAATGAAATTATCTATTATGACCCACTCCAACCTGGTGCTGGAACAAGGCTTAATTCGGTCCTCGAACGCTTGAACAAAACAATCAAGAAAAAATTATTAAAATTGACCAGACTTACAGAAAAGTTGCTGTGTTTTAACATGACAATGGTAAACCACATACATTTTTGATAGTTCGAAACCAATTGGCAGAACTTGCTTGGGAAGTTTAAATGCATCCACCTTATAGCCCGGACCTTGCACTATCTGACTAGCATTTTTTTTCGGTTTCTGCAAAACTTTCTTAACTGTGAAAAATTAACCGATCAAAGTGCCACTGAAAATCGCTTAACCAAAACTCTTCGCCGGTAAATCATAGACATTCTATATGGATGGATTTATGAATCTACCATAAAAATGACAAGAGGTCAAATATTATAATGGTTAGTGTAGGGAAAATTGTTCAAAAATGTAAAAGTATTTTTTCAGACATTAGATATATAAAGTGACATAAGAAGTAAATGTCATAATTTTTCAAATTTACAAAAAAAAATTGCAAAAGCAAAAATATAAAATTTGGTGATTGTAACTTTTAAACGTTTCAATTTACTTATAAAAATAATTCTGTGTTTTTAAACAATTTTATTAATTACTGTTTATACTTAAATAGTTGCAAGTGTTTTTCTTTTTTAAAAAAAGTTTAACAAATTTGGATTTACACGGTTAAGTCCCATTTCCGCATATTTGTTAAGCGAATTGCAATAGTGTAAACGCACTGTCAGGAACGTAAGTAATTATGCTGTAGTCATTTTATGCTATGTTTACACTTATTATAATTCAGCCCACATTTGTGTGGATTTTATAAGAAAACTCCTTTTATTACTGCAAATTTGTTAAGTCAATTGCGAGAGCGTAAACGAACTGTTAGATTAAAATGATCAATTTTCGCATAGCTAATTTTTGTACATACATTTTTTATATACACTTAAGTTATCATTGTAAATAACATACTTTATATTAATGAAATTTTTCACTAAATATTAATATAGTTCTACTTAACTGCAAGTTTACTAACATATATACTTTTATTTCTTTTAATTTTAGTACGGACAAAGAGTTCCCACAGCGGCTTCACCAAGTAACACAAATTCAAGCAGCTCATCAAATACTGGCTCCCAGAGTGGCACATTAAGCACTAGTCTGAGTAATACCAACACAAATACAACAATGGGTCCTACAGGTAATAACGGTACACAGCAACAGGGTGAACAATTGTCAAAAACAAATTTATACATTAGAGGATTACAGCAAGGCACAACAGATAAGGATTTAGTTAGCATGTGCGCACAGTAAGTAACATTTTATGTTCAACTCTTAATATAATTAGTATAAATTACAAATTAATTTTGCCTACTTACGAACAGTAATTAAGATATAAACATTTCATTCGAAGTAATAAATTTAAATTAAATATGTTAGGATTCTTACTTATAATTTAAACTTAATTTTAAATTAACTATTTTCTATATATACTTCATCTGAGGGTTATTTGAATAAACTAGAATATTCTTATATATATGTTTTAAAAAATATGTATTAAAATTATTAAAGATAATTTACCTGTATTTAACAATTTGGTACAAAGTTGGATTCAACAATTTCAGTCATCTGCATGCAAGTCCATTTAAATAAGAGAAATTCTAGTGATTCCTAATAGGAATATCAGTATTGTAGTGACTTTATCCTATAAGAGAATTTTCTCGAAGATTGGATACCGCGTTAATTAATTTCTGTTTCAGTTGTGAGTAAGACCAACGCGTACTCAACGATGGTTAATCGTGCCAGAGACTGAGTTTTTATGGAACTTAGTTAGTTCAAGACCTTTCTTTAAAAAGTATTCTATGCTTAAGGTTTAAAGTGGTTTTGAAACTCTTGAGTTGTATATAGTAGGACAATGAGGCATTCCAAACAACAAACAAGTTCTCAAACTGTCTGTTTACCACAAACCTCTCTCAAATGATAAAATTTTTGTAATGCAATATAAGAACCTTTTTGTCAACAATTGACGATTAAGTACTATGTCATTACCTATAGAAAATTTCTCTACTCTACATGAACTGAACGCACTGCTTTATCGTCTCTTTGTTTACTCATTTGCATCGCATGTCACATTTCATGGTATTTATCACCTTTTCAGAAACCTTGTCTTACCGCATAATTCTTAAGTCATTACATGGTCGTTACAGCTGAGATAGGTTCGCTAAACGTCGTCTGTTTTTCAGTTTTATCAAGTTATTATCATTATCTATTCTTAAGGCCCATGTTATATAGAGTGTTACGTCAAAATTTACTCTTTAAGGCTATGAAGACAATTCATATTATGCAGTGTTATATTTTTACTATTACTTTAATACTATTTTGTTGAGCCTAAATTTTAAAGGTAATGTATATATTTATATACAAGACTGCTTTCACTGAGTAACGAGGCACATATAACCTCGAATTTAAACCAATACTTCTTTTCTTCTCTCACTCTAATTTTTTTAATTTACATTGAAAGCTACAACGATTTCGATTTTGACGTGCCCGTAATTCTCTACATAACATGGGCCTAATAGTTATATGTGATTTAATAGTTATATGTGGTATTTTTATTTATAAACATTCTTTCTCTCTCTCCTGTTTTTTTCTCTATTAGGCGGTATGAGTTTACTTTATCAATTGTAATAATTTTATATCATTATGAAAAAAAATGTACATTAAAATGAAATTAATTATTTTTTCATTTATCTTACAGATATGGAACAATAATTTCAACCAAGGCTATTTTAGATAAAACAACAAACAAATGTAAAGGTATTTTTTTCTTCACCATTTCTCATCTTTATTTATGTGTTTTTTTTTAATTACTTAAATATTAATTTTGAATTACTGAAAATG